AATAATAAAATTAATTACTTTAATAGCGAAAATATCATAAAAATATATACTGTCTTATTACTTAGTATTTAGTTATATATTCTGACAAACTTTCGCTCAAAATCTCTTTTTGTATACAACGGTTTTATAACATTAAATTCAAGTTTAACACATTCGCCGTATTGACTACCCTGTACAGCAGGGCTATACCCACTTGCCACCTTTTTAGTTTTAAACCTAAAAGAGATATAATGACAAAACAATATTCATGTATCCGATGGCGCCATTTCAGTTTCTGAGAGGGGGGCATAATTTTTTACCGGTCCAAATAAAACTGAAACAAAAACCGCACGGTTACAATTACATTTCATTACATTGCAATTGCATTTTCGTCTCAATATAAATACCCTTCTTATATTATAATTTTATACTTACATTTTAATATCAAAGGTTACTATCATAAGCATAAGTCACCCATTTTTTTGAGAGATAAAAATAACTAAATAATTAATTCATATGTAAAGGGATACTTAAATATATTACATATTAGCTACTATATGAAGGCCCAAAACTAGCCCATACCCGGCCCGACAGCGGCCCACTAATTACAAGGGGGGGAGCTAATGCCCACCCTGCCCTTCTAAATGACACCACTACATGTATCGTGTAGTACACTGTAGGAACTAACATATCTGATTTTTATTTTTATACCTTCATAAGAATAGTAAGAACTTGCACAGTAACACTTTTATATGGTTTACTTGCTATGTCCTGTGTAGTCATTGAACTTATCCCAGCTAAAGTACCTTATAAATTTGTAACAATCAGCAGCAGCCTATCACACCTAATAATCATATTAATTAATCGTACGTTGTACCTATGTCATATTATACTGTACAATTTAGTTATACCATTAATTATTGTGTTTTACAATAACGTTTTTTTCAAGTAGGTAACTATTTAAATGTATTGGACCCAAGCCGATTTTATAAATATTATTAATATTTATTTATTATTCAATGTTAATTTTATTGATTGAAAAATAATATCGTACAACCACATTATCAAAAAATAATACCTAAAATAGGTTCACATTTTTTAATCGTGTATTAATATTTAATATTATCATCTTAGAATCTTGGTTCAATAAGTTGATAGCTTTAATTTCTCCAAAAAAAGTCCTTTATTTACCCGCTAAGATGGAAGAAAAAAGTAACAAAAAAAATGTAATAAACTATTGGCTCATAACTGGATGGTACTGTTTTAAGTTTACTAATACAACAATAAAACATTATTAACGCTGAATGTCCATGCAGGGCTTTGTGCTTACTTATCTATGGTCTATCAACCGTTATAATCATTACCTTTGGATTGAAAATAGGACAAGTGAAAAGCTTACACTGGTTAATGACATTGCTAATAACGGTCCTACAAAACGCATTCGTATCTGAACCTATACAAATAATAATATGTAGTTTTATAATATTTAAACTCGATCAAGTAACTGCATTAATAAATTGATAAATATATAATATTTAAATAATTAATTGTTGATATGAATGAAACCTAATACGATTTTTATTAGTGTTTTATTGTTACAGGGACAGCATCATATATTATTAAACAAATATAAAATTAGATTGGATAATTTTCGTAGAAACACTAAGAATCGATTACGGAATATTCGATTAATACAGAGTATACGAGAGCGTAGAAAAAGATATGTGTATAGTCCGATGACGCGGAAATCTGCTCTAGTAGATATAATCATTTTAAATCCATATCGGTTTTAGCTATTAAATAATATATAACTACCTATGTAATAATTATTATCATAGTAGGCTTAGGTACGTATTTGAATATCTACAAAAATATTTTAGTTATCACTTTTTTAATGTGTCACGAAACGTTGGATATTCAAAAACGTGATAAATCATGACAATATATTATAATAAATAATAATTAAATATTCTTACAGATTTTACAAGCCAGATATAGAAATAAATTGCGGCTGGAAAGTTTTCAAGAAAATGTTGCTACATGTCTGCTATTAATATTAATATCATTATGTTGTCTTAGCGGGTTGTATTCATTTAGCAATCACAAACATATTATACATGCCAATAATATTAACAAATTATTTCTCAAAAGCATATTACAAACAAATATGATGGATTTGGAAATGTAACATACAAATAAAATTAACTTAGGAACTATAAATTTTTAGTTAAATGTATGTGATTTGATTAAAATTTTATTTTAGGATTAAAGCATTTTTAACTGAAACGCTTTTAAATCCTTTTCATATCAGAGAATACTATAATGGAATGCCAATAGTCAATAAATCAATGCCATATCTAAGTGAAAGTATGAATTCTTATTAATTAACGTTTAAAATAAATCTAATAATATATAAATACACAATTAAACAAATTATAATAATTAATTTTTACCCAGATTAACTGGGTCGTCGAATTTCTTACCTCTTATATCCTAAACATTTTGAAGACTTAGACTTAAATTTTCATTGTATTACAATAAACTGTCTTTAATAGACAATGCAAGAGGTTGGTGTAGTTTTTACAACAGTAAATTAGTAAACGGAGGCATCAGACTAAAACAAAATAGAATCACAGAAAACAACTTAAGATGGGAAAGCGATACAGGTAGTTATAAAGAAAAATGGATAAAAACTACCAAAATTAAAAATGGTACGGCTTGGATTTATAGATCAATACCAGTGATAAAATATTTCGGTCTATGTATGTATTCATTGAAGCCAATAGTAGTTTACTTGTTTATAAAATAATTCAGTGTGCTTAAGACGATTTATTAAAATATTTTAGGGTTTCCTGTTACAAAAAACTCTGGATTTATATTAGATCTAACTGGACAATTATCAGAGTATAAGAAAACTATAAACGCACACTTGGAAAACGGATGGTTGGATAATAGAACGAGAAATCTAGTAATAGAATTTCATACTTACACACCTAACATAGATTGCATTTCTGTGTTCAAAATACAATTCGAAACATTATCGGGACTATTATATACAGTGCATAGTGAGGTATGTTGAATACAGTTAAAATGTTTAAGTGTACTTAACTAAAGTACTAGTTTTAGTATTTATTTTTTTTTAGACTTTGTGATTGTGAGTAGGTACTAGGTAGTTAGTTGTTTTGGGAAAAAATAAAAAATATTAGGGTTGCCTATTTTGGGTTCGTTACAATGGTATCAACATTATTAACTATTATGGTGGTGAACGTGCTATTATAGAGGAAAAACCAACAAATATTCATTCTTATAAATATTATTATATAATAACAATTTAACATTTTAATAATATAATATATTCAGTGGCGTATCTATAGCATTTTTTCCTCCCCTTGATATGCCACTGATGATATTGTTATCATGATACTAATATGGATATTATACTGTCGTGCGCGTTTAGGTTTGGTCAGTGCCTTCGGGTTCTGTGGTCGTCACGTGGTACACGTACGTGTTCACGCTGGTATTCATGTTTGCCTACGCAATGATGACCGTGCGGCTGATGATGTCGTTGAAACACATGGTGTCCGCCATGTATGACCACGGCGGCGGCGAGTACAGGGTGCTGTGCGCAGCGTACGAGTGCGTGGTGCTGGCGATCGTCATGTGCGCGATGTTCGCGGTGACCGGCCGCTGGCAGCTGATGGATGTGGCCCACGAGAGGTACTCGGCGGCCCAAGAGACGGCGGTCGTCGGCAGCATGACGTACATGTGCCAGGCCCACGAACATGTGGCCGCGCTGGCGTCCGTCATCGTGGCCATGGCGCTGTTTCGCACGTTTCAACTGGTCATGTACGAGAGACGGGCGTCGCACGTGGTGCGGGCGCTGGGCGCGTCGGTGAGGCCCGTGGGAGCGGTGGCCGCCTACTGCCTGATCGCCATGTATGGCGCCTGGGGCGGAGTGGCCGGCGGCGATGGCCCTGGGTTCCTCAATGCGTTCGTTTTGTCCCGGGCGGGCTGGCGGAACAGCATAGCGCGGCCGCCTCCGATGGCCACGGTCGTGTCGGCCGCCGCGTTCCTGATCCTAAACGCCGCCGTCGTGTCGATCATCACCAAACGCTACATCCTGTCGAAACTTTACACGCGACAATGACTGAAGTGCCGTGAACCGCGATGTACCCGATGAACGGCTATATTGTCGCGTGCCGCTGTTGTACCTACTACCTACCGTTCAATGATGTGCTATAGAATATTATTAATTATTATATTGTTATCGTTAGAAACATCGCGAATAATGTTTATCACGAAGCGTGTTACCCATTTTCAATTTATTTCATTATATTACTTAATACTCAACAATGTTTAATTTTATACTTAATATTATATTATTATATTCAGTAAAACTGGGGATAAGGAGACCAAACTCTTTGCAGGCAATATAAGTTCCATACGACATCGGCTCATCGAACACGTATTTCCCCATGCGATTGTTATTTTAGGTAGGTACCTACATGCACTTAAAAGGCATAATATTATGTTATAATATTTGACATTTTATTTTTCGTAATAATATCTAGGTATACCTATATAGGTTCACTAACACTAAATAAATTTATTATTTTTAACATTTTACATTTTTCAAGATATTCAAAACTAAAAATTGAAAATAATATATTATTATGTCCATATAGACAGTGTTTACATAGTATTATTTATGTAACCCGTTGAGAAATTAATTAAGTTTTGAATTTAAAAACAGATTTGTAAAAATTCTAGTCCATTTTTTCAAGCCTTCTGGATGCGTTACCTGGAAGTGGCCGATGATAGTTATTGCCTTATTTAGTTAAAATATTAGAGCGTTCAGGGTCCACAGTAATAAACATGTATTTTATTAATAAGATAACATAGAGATGTGTCAATGTGTGGTTATATGATTAATTTTAATTTTAAATAATAAATTATAAATAACACGATGATTATCTATACTGTATTCGAATGAAATATTAATAAAAATATTGAGGTGTCATTTATTTTTTGTCGGACTTTGATAAACTTTGGATGATTTCCTCGATGTGTTCATCTACCCGTTTGTTCCGAAATGCGATAATTTGTTTAAGTTTTTCTATACGAAACTTATTCTATATAAAATATATGACAGAAACGTTATACATTTTAATTAACAACATTTAAAATGTACTTATTTATAATTACCTCTTCATAAAAAAATTTTTCTTCCGATGAAGCTTTGTGTTTACTTTCACTTGATTCTCCAATTGCACCGCCTCCGCCAAATTCACCGCTTCCCACATCAATACTTTTGTACCGGTTGAATCTATACAAGTATACGACATACATAATATGACAAATAAACACAAACTACAAACATATGCAATAAAAGAAAATAATGGTTATATTATACAATTTACACACAAATAAATTTTGATCTCATACTCGTACAAATAAAAGCATAACAAAATCCGACTTTTCCGTTTAAACACTAAACATATGTTTACACATAATTTATAGTGTACCAATACGAATCTTAAAATTGTAATCGCTTAATATCTAAATTACAAATTAAATATTGGTAGGATATAGGTTATATAATATATAGATAGGTTAGGAATTTAGGATATATTATATATAGGTACTTAGAAAAATCTTACCCCATGATTGTCGATGTATTTTTTGTGCACAAGTATAAACACTTGTTAGTTTTTCTTAAAAAGTCATTCATATTAACTGATGATTTTTTTCACTAGGTATATTTTTTCTTACACACATGTGCATACAAGAGTACAGGACATAATATAATGCTTAACTATAAACTTACAAGAAAAAACTAGCTAGATATATTATATAATATATTAATATGAATAATAGTTTTACATTCTACCTATAACCTATCAATATATCATTAACTAAACAACACCATTACCTATATAATATATTAGTATTAATTTTCTCATTAGTGCACAATATTTACCTAGATTGTATCTATATCAATAACAAAAACAATATACACATAACCGACTTAATCTTTATGTTTTAAAAATAAAATAATATATTATATTTCATGGAAATCAATGAAAAAAAAATATAACGCACAGTAATTAAAATTAATGACTTCTGAATAAATAAATCTAAAAGTAATCATAGTCCGAACTAGAACACTGTTATGGATGTGTTAAACTTTAATTCATTTATACACTTTATGAATTGCACCTACCTAACTACGAAAAACGATTTTGAGAGGGGACGATGTTTCATGTTTCATTAAAAACAAGACAATTTCCAATCTGTTCACATAATAGAACAATAATCAAATTTGATCATTATAAGCACTGGCATAGTTATGATTTTGTTCTGGAGGGAGAGGTATGTCGCCAACACCTAAGTATGCAAAAAAAGTAATATTTTCCAATTTGTTTTCTATCAACGTATACCTAGATCCCCGTTTAAATAAATAGTATAGCGCAATTTGAGGCGTCAAAATAAGCTCTTTCCTTTTAAAAATCTAAGTAGCATGAACGTCGTTATAAAACCTGTTTTCAATTAATTAATAATTGTCTATTATATATATTTTTTACTTTAAATAAAGTTGTTATTTCAATTGGAAATATTATATATTTTGTAACTAATTTATAAAAATTAAGATTTGTTTTTAAAAAAAAAATATTAGATATATTATATTTTGATATCGCTCAAATATGCGACCCGTTGATTGAATATTGGTAATTTGTATTTTCTAATACATTTTTTAGGTTGGTAAGTCCTCAGAATTTTCCTCAGCAATACATATTTATTTGAGGATAGCCACCACTGCCTATATGGCTATATAAAATAAATAATAAGTCTTCTTATCGGTTCTGGTGGACAACTCACTGATCTAAAATCAAAATGCCGTCAAATATGAAAATGATAAAATATGAAATATGAAAATAATTAAAATGTAAGGTGAAGTGGGGTAACTGCGACGGAATTTTGAATAGTTCAACTTGATCTGTCAATTTCTCCTGAAATAATTAACTTAAAAATATGATGATTATTGCAATGTACTGATATGGAAGTGGTCTATCTAAGTACACTGTCAACATTATGTGAAATATCTTAAAAACATTTTTACGATTGAAAAAAAAAAAAAAAAAAAAAATGTCGCACTTGCCCCTTGACAAGGGGTAAGTGCAAAACGGACTGTTTAAAAATACTAATACCACTGTTATTTAAACGTGGGGTAAGTGCCTTAAACTAAAAATTTTTAGCTATAATACTACTTTTACAAAGCTGTATTTGTTCAAATATTTTAGAAATGACAGCTATTCTTATAATTACAAATATATTGTCACATTTTTATCATATCCTACAAACTATGAGCATCTCCTTACTTACATTTCACTTCACTCTCATATAAGAAATTTTAAGATTTATATAGTATTTTGATAAAACAACAATGCAAATATTTTCAAATACTTTATTAAACAATTTATGTTTGTATATACCTATATAAAAAACAAAAAGTTAACAAATGTCATAAGTACTTAGAAATAAATAATAATAAAATATGAAAAATTTTAGTAATAATTATTTAAATCAAATGCTTTAAGTAACTACTAAATTATTTTCATATATTTTATCAGACTTTAGATTACTTTTTTAGATTATATTGATTAAATGTAATTCCAAATATAAATTCTCATCCTTAAAATATTTTCTCATCCTTTTTTTATATCAGTTAAAATACATCAAAATATTAGTATAAATCATAATTAATAGATTAAGTATTAATATGATACATAACTGACATTGTATTAGAAAAAAACAATGTTTATCTCAAGTAACTAAAATAATTAATATTAATTTTTAAAAGGGGCAACTGCGGCATGTCATGTCGCACTTACACATAAATGAATGTCGCATTTACCCCGTTGGTCATTTTACACGGGGGAAGAGCATAATCCGAATTAGCGAATATAATTGTATAATCAAACACGTAAATATCGCTAAAAACCTAAGCTACACGCCTACACATAAAATTACACAACTTAGCTTATTTAGAAGCTTCCCAAATAAATTTGAATTGCCAAAAAAAATAATTGATAACAAGTCTACTTTTCAAAACGCGAGTGATATTACAATTGTTGATATCAACTCTGATAGCACGTAAACGAATAAACGTACAGTGTTGCAAATTAGATATTTAAGCTCCCACTATATTGTAGATTAATTTTCATTATTGATATGAGTGATAGAATTTATTTTTCCCACCATAATACTGGAAAACGCACTTACCCCAGTAAGGCACTTACCCCACTTCACCTTACTGTGAATTTTGCTAAGAAGTAAGAAATTCATCCACTGCAAAAACAAGTGAAATATTATATATGGAAATGGCCAGCAACAGGTATCACAGCACGTGCGTGAAGTTAGCCAACCGACATTGACAGGTCGACTAAGAACGAACGCGAATAGTTATAGTAAGTCATTTGTAACTGTGTATTTGTAACACACTTTTCAGAATTAGTATCTCCTTACTTTGGGTGCTATAAAAAATTGGCGTAGGTCCGGAGTCGATTAGACAATGTTGGGGGGCCAACTTCACTCAAAAATCGCCAGAATCTAAGATCAAATATAAAACTAACATTTTACATAAACTTTATAGCTTGAGAGCCTATTAGAGAATTGTTCATGTTCTGACGTAATTAATTTTTCATTATTACTGCGATAATTAATAACAGTACCTTTGTACCTATAATAGCTTATACTGTATAGGTATACAGTTACAGTAAACATCAATGTTTCACATATTGAATGAAATATATTTTAATTGGTTTACTATTACATGTGATCTGTGCATTACGAATTCACGAATCACGATGTACCATGACTACATTGCACAAAATAAAATTATGGAAATTATTACATTATAATATTATATAAAATATTTTATAGATCAGCTCATTCATGCTCATTAATCGCGCATTAATGTTTCCTATTTGTTACCTATCTCTGTGCTGACTGCTGATATAAATATAAACACTATTATCTTATAATCTGTGATAATAATATTATGTAAATTGTTATCTATCGATAATCACAATCACAGTATATTTCTGATTTGAGTGTTTTCTGACTTTCTGAGTGACTTCTTGCCTATTGTAAGTTGACTAAGTTGTAAAAAGTCTAATGTCTATTAGAATTTAGAAATAGAACTTAAGAATTAAGACTATTGAGTATTTAAGTATTATATAGGCATCAATATTAATTATTAATAGCATGCTCCATGCAACTATGTAATATTAGTTACCTATAATAGTACCTACCTAGGTGTTATAGTATGTAGGTACATTGTAAGTTTAATATGATATAGGATTACAGACTTTGACAGTATTTAGTAAGTTCCTATTGAAGTCTGTGGCATATTATATAAAAACAGTAAGTTTAAAGTTACTACTTTTATAGTTATTACTTTTATCTTTAATAATGGCTATGGAATTGTGACCTGTGTGGCTGTGTTCTATTGTAAATTTATTATCTAATAGTTGATAAATATAATGTTTAAACATTAAATTAGTATGTCAATAATTAACATGTCAGTATATTTATTTCAAAGTTCAGTTAAACAGTAAACAGTGATATCTAACTCAAATGAATAATGATCAATCACAACATTTGATATATGTTGTATACATATTTCAAATAATTTTTATAAAAGATAATTATTTCAGTTACTTATATATAAGTTCAACTATCTATAAAAATAATGTACATCAACACATCCCTCTTCTATTATGTTGAATATAAATTATCCACGATGTAACGAATATTTTCTCTACATTGTGATATTATTATTTATATAATTCTGTAAAATACTATTACCATTCATATTTTAATATACCTACTACCTACGTTACAATACATAGGTAATAGATACTATATTAATGTATTATTATTAATAAAATATAAAATATACTTAATGGTATTACCATAGAATAGATAAAATTCTGTTGTACAGGCATAGAATAAAATATGTAATTTGTCCTGTAGTATATCGAGTATAGACTATAGGCATTAATATAAGATTAATAATTAATTTCTAATTTAAACTATATTATTTTTTAACAGTTACCCTTCGACTTGAACTGTGATTGTGAATATTTGTGTAGAAAAAACAATTTATACCTGCATGGCTACATCTTACTTCTATCATGTATGAAGTACACGTTCTTTTTGTAGGCTATTGTCGGCCAACAGAAGGTGGCATGCTGGCCAATTGTACCTGTACATTGGTCAAAGGTCCTAAAAACATTATTGTTGACACTATGACTCCGTGGGATGGTAAGAATTTAATAAATGCTATTGAACAACATGGAATCGGATGTGATGACATTGATTATGTAATTAGTACTCATGGCCACTCTGATCATGTGGGTAACAATAATTTATTTTTGAATGCTAAGCATCTGGTGGGCCGATGTATTAGTTACAAACAGATGTACTATGATGACAGTACATTTTTCAACAGTGACGGTGTGTATGAAATTGATGAGAATATTAGAGTTATCTCAACCCCTGGACATACTCTGACGGACGTATCTGTTATTGTTCAAACAACCAAAGCATCAATTGGAATTGTAGGCGATTTGTTTGAAAGTGAAGACGATATAATGGATGAATCCATTTGGTTAAATGCTGGTAGTGAAAATCCAGATTCACAAAAAAAATATAGAAAAGCTATTATGGAACAGGTGGATTGGATTATACCAGGTCATGGTGCTATGTTCTCTACCAAGAAATACAAGTGAACAACTATTATAAAATGTTTAAAAATGGAAATAATTTTAAAACTTAAGTTTATTTGATACCTCCAAATTTTAATGTACTATGATTATATTATCTTCATCTATACAACTACCTATATCAGTATATCACAGAATATTATTATTATATTATATTATTCTGTGAATATACCATAGAGTATAGACAATTGAAAGTAATAATTGTTAACAATTGTGATGAGATAATTATTAGTACTTACAAAATATGATTACCAATAAACAATTATTCAAGTACTTGTTCAATTTTTATGGATTTAAATGAATAGGTAATTTTAAAAATATTCTTCTTTTTGGTATATTGTTATATGCCATGTACGATAATAATTTATTATATGCCATACAATAATCTTTTCACAATAAATATTTTTGGACTTATATTGACACTAACTATGACAGTTAGTGTCAATATGAGTACAAAAATATCAACTAACTATGTTAGTATAACTTGTCAATTAAAATATCTATGTCTTAACTATGTTATAAGTAATAACAGCAAATGCAAATTGTATTCGATTGTAGGTACCTACCTACACTGTATTAAATTTATGATATGTTTTTAATATACTGTACCTATATTTTATACATGATAAATAATATGATTGAATGTATAGATTTTTGTGTTCTAGAACATCAATTAATAATAATTATAAAATATTTAAAAGTTTTGGTATTTTTTCTTTGATTCTGGTTTCAAAAGTACAGTAGACTTTGTTAAACACTGTGAACAACACTTAGGATAATTTTTATCAGAACGGAATGGTTGGCATGTATGATTGGGCAATTTACATGAAGTGCACGGTTCACATCTGCAATAAAAAAATATTACAATTTATATTAATTCTTCAGAGGTTTATATATTTTTATTTTTAGTATGACTTACTCCATAGTTTTGATTGTCGGGGTCTTTGAGTCCTTTTGCCTCGAACAAGTTCGTTTTTCACATCTTCCCACTGGATACCAAATGGAGTCTACCTTGTATGCTGATTTAGTTTCCTCGTCATAACATTTTGTAACTGTAATAATACATAGTTTGTATTCACATAATAGTTACCTACTTGTACACCAATATAATTAACAAACTATTTTTTTGTTGATTTTAATTTACCAAGTTACCCACAACCCACATATTTATAATTATATTATTTCATTCATTTGGGCCTTACAATAATTTATCCACCTGTAACACTTTATAAAACTTTGATCCCTCACTCATCTGAGGTTAAACACTTAAACCTAATACTGGTCAGACACTTAACCTGGTCTTCTCATCTTAAGTACAAGCGCAAGGTGCTTAGCTGTAAACTGCAAGCCTTCATATGTTATAAGACCACTTCTATGTTCAAACTCTACTTCTCTACATTATCCATTAAATGTATTTTATATAATACTAACACCATTGTGATTTGGAGTTCTGCTAAGAACATCAATAAGTCATAAGATAACCCCTCAAGCCTATTAAAATAGCTGACTTAACTAATGAATGGGTATTCCATGGCTTGCCTCAAACAGTCTGAAATTTGATCTAAAATCCAATAGAACTCTAACCAGCTAATCAGGCGGCAACAGGAACCATTAAGAAAATACTTATTCACTAGTATGCATACGTTGTATTGATTGTATTTTAGATTCTGAACGGAGCTATACAAGTATTGATTTTACAATTATGTGTTTTTTTTTATGTCTGTCATCAACTTTTAGTACAGTAAAAATGATTAGATTTTCTTCAACAGCATCTTTTCTGAATTTCTCACAAACAAAAGATTTATTTTATGTACATAAATCGAAATATTTTGAAAATTCAAACTATGTCTGGTAAATGATAATACCAATTTGGTGAAAGCATGTGAAAGTTTCAAATCTCCGTGGTTATTTGTTATTAATTATTATTAATTAGGTGACAACAAAAAAACAAAATCAATTTTATCGTTAACAAGTGTGGGTAAATATTATTTTTCTGTCATTTTTTTTTTTGTAAATCAGATTCTATAAAAACACGGAACAAAACAAAAATACATCATTGTAAACCAATACATTTATAGCTCCACAGTCCACGCTTCATCTAAGACACTTAACAAACACTTATTATTTATTGATAAATGAATTAAAGAACTTCAAAAAATCAATTGGTTACTTATATAGGGCTATTATTCTGTCACAAATACTATCTAAATTCTCAAGAGATAAAATAATATTATACAGGTGATTCTTTTAAATGTAATATTATAAACATTAATTATCTCAAAAAGTGTTATTTAACTTTTTTGAAAATATTTTTTTTAGGTAATTTACCTAAAGTAAGTGTAGGTAAGTTACCTATTTTAAAACAATATATTTTTTACTGTTTTTAAGTCTCATACTTTTTTTAATGATAGCACCCAGGCACCATGCACCCATATTTAATTTCATATTGCAAAACAAAATATTTTTCTTAGGTTATCCAATATTGTATTAAACACAATAGGTACACATTAGAAAACGATAAAAATAATAGTAAAAACTAAAAGATATAATTTTTTCTCATAAATTTTGTTTTGAAATTACATCCAATTAGGTAAGTAAATAAAAAACAATGTTGCACAAACGTTAAAATTATTCAAAAAAATGAGTATTTATCTTTAATAGTGCTACGTTGTATTTATATAGATATATAAATAGCGTTAGTAGAATTCTTGTCTCAAAATAGACCCTATTTTATGGATAGATAAAGATTAATGAGGCCTTTGGTTTTATTATGGCGTAATGTTATATTAGGCCACCAAAATGGTAATTCGTAGAATATTCCTAATAAGATTATTCACAAGTATCAAATGAAATCAATAATTCATCAATGTAGGTATGCAAATACCGTGGTTTCGCTTATAGACTATTTGCTAACCACAGTAGGTCGTAGTAATTGGACTGATTCTCTGATTATAATTAATTACCTACCTATAATATAATTAATAAATTATAGACTTTAACTTTGTATTTGCATGGGTACATGGGTACCTAAAATGATTAGCTTATCATACCTATACATTAGTCGAGAACAGGAAAAAAATTAACATTTTAATAACAATTTTAGGCTATATTAGCCTAAATACGAGGTACCTACTACCTACGTTATAGATTGATAAAAATTATGAATATTGGTGCCTGCCTAATATCAAACATGCGTATTACAAACAAATATTTAAATTGGTAGATATAAATATTGTAACCATTATACCTAGGTAAATCACGAAAATGATAAATGAATTAAATTTTCGGTTGACTCACTCAAATTTGACTCTTTAATTTCTTCGTTTCCGAATCCCTCGGCTTGAAGCACGTTCGCCTCATCGTTGTAGAAGTCTGGAGCCGCTGTGGACAGAGAGCACAACGCGGCTATTGACAAGATGATGGTTAGTTTTGACATGATTGAATGGTCTGATGTGTGAATGACAAAAGAAAACAAAATAATAAGGAATACGTATTCCTATGCGATTTATGACAATAAACAATAGAACGCAATTCGTGAGTGCGAAGGACGTAACTAATGTGCGTATAGATAATAATTTTAAAATGCGGAGACCGAGACCCACGATAACCTCAACGGCTAACCTTTTGGTCTTTGGTTATCGATTGTAATATTATAATAATTTATTTACCTATTCATAGTGGATTGCACGTAGGTACCACACACATATATAAGTATAACATAAGTATATGGCCATTAACATGCGTAGTTGCAGTTACCTACCTATAGGTATCTCTATACTGCTTATAATATAAATACATATAACATATACTTATTTGTGTAAATAGTGTAGGAAATGATTGTGTATTTGTGTCCCATTGTCTTGAAAAAAATAAATAAATCGTCTATCACACACATTTTAGTTCGCCGATTGAGTTTTGGTGCTTATATAAATACCTATCTATTACTTATTAGTTATTAAAATACATTGTACCGGTATCAGCTTAGCTACAGTTATAAACCTAACCTTTTGAGAAACCACCAAAAACACGCCTAAAACATATTATATAAATATATTAAGATTATAATATGCGAAGAGTTATTCGTTTTTGAATGGACGAGTTTGTTGATCTGCGCTACACTGCAGCGCAGCAAGTGCGTACAAAGGATCTGATTTATGAAGATCTTTACCCGTCGTCGGTCTTATAGGCCGCGGCGTGTTATGGGCCGAAACGAAAACCAATTTTCGTTCTATAGTCGGGAGGCGGGCGGCGGCGCCTGACCGGAATAATTAAATTCGCACAAGGCTGCTAATGTAATATGCTATTCGTTTTTTTTTTTTTTTGTTGTTCCCGGTCATTAAAATCCACGACAGCGGTAAGTTAACTTCTTTCGATTCATTTAATTTTAATTTCAATTTTTTTCCACCATCGTATATATGTATATGATTTTGGGTCGCTTATTTGGTAGCCACGCGTGTGGACGTTTGTGTTACGCGTATGATTAATTCGCCAGATATTCATATGCGTCATTATATAATTTCCTAAAATATTTTATAACCTATATACCTACCCTTTTTTTTTAGAACGCTACTCTTGTTTGGTTTTTCTCTAACCTATATCCTATATTTATATTTTACGACGGTAAATACATACTGGAATAATGAGCGTAATAAAGGTAGGTAAGTCCGCAATGACTGCATTAAGTGATTCATTTATTGATACAATATTATGAACTATCGTTGTCTGGCTTTAAGCAAAATGTTATAGTACCTATACACGTTTGAAAATTAGTAAATGGCCTTTGATCCTAAACGATTTGACATCAGACTGTCAAAAAAAAAATTAGGTTAGCGGTAAAAGAACACGCATGATGAAACAAATATTAAATATATCTACAGGATGATTTAAAACAAAATTTCTTATTAAAACAATTTGAATAGAAAATTATTGGCCTACTTAAACCAACACTTTTATTTTTGCACATCTTCATATTATTGTGACTTTAAATAAAATATGACATTATTATTGAGTAGGTACCTATTTGTACAGTGTACAAAATATTACATATTCACAATACCTACATCTCAATCTAAGACAGTAAGACCTATTTGTTAGCGATGATTAATTTAAAAATTTACCTATATGGCTATATGTGGGTAATGGGTATTGTGATTGTTTTAAAAGACATATACTCATATTTATTTAGGATCAGATATTTTAAGTGAAATTAATTAAAATGCAATATAACACTAAATTATATATACCTAGGTAGGTATTTTATAAAAATATTAGAAAGAAAATAATACGCCGGAACGTTATTGAACCTCTATAAAAATATGAATGTGAGTAATTTATTCCCTGGCTGTTAAATTATATCCAAGTAAATATAGTTAACATTTTTATAATATACATACAAATGTATTCAAATGTCTTGTTGATTAAATATAAAATACAATAATATTTATGTACCACCTATTTTTATAATAGTCGAATATGAATCCTTAATATTTTATAATTATTTTTAGTAGTAGACATTCGAAACACCCTGTACACATGTTTAATACACTCCCTTCTGCTTAAGCTCGCAGATGTTTTAATAATTTTATAAGAACTCATTTAACAAAAAAAAAATCCACACTTCAGACATTCGGGCGTTTGTCATTCGATGTTCAAAATAGTCGTAGATGAATGCATGTGATGTTGATATAATTTTTTTTGAGTTGCTTAAGTTAATTTTGCCATTATGGCTACTTCGTGTTTTTTGTGTGTATTCTTGATTTGTATAGCTGTATCCCACGGTTATCATTCCAATATTGATTTTAAATCCAAGGTAAAGTTTAGAAAACTTTTATTGTATTGGTATTTTAAATATAGGTATATACCTATATAAGTAGTTTTTTATAAAATGCATGTATATAAGACGTATATTATAGACTATAGTATATAAGAATATATCTTATGTAATAACATCAACAATGCATGTTTATCTGATAATAATTAAATTTATATTTAACTATATTATAGACGCTATAGTATTATATGAATATTGATAAAAAATCATATTTAGATTTAATAATACCTACACTTATTAGGTAGGTATATTAATTTTAGTTTGTCATTTAAATTGTATACAAACGGCAGAAATACTTAGGCACATAGTGATAGGTTTATACATAGCTTACTTCTTTGAATATAGGTATATGCAGATATCTTAATATTTATAAGTACTTATGTCCTATCTACCATTCACACTGATGTACTGCTATATATAATTTTTTTTCACAAAGTTCATTATCTACCTATTGTATCGAAATCCCAATAATTTACTCTGCGTACGTTCCTTATTTATTGCTATTAAATACCTCTCTAAAGGACAGTATTACCGCATAGGTCCATGAAATTTTCAAAATAGGTATTACCTATATTCTCCATTTCTCCATATATTGTGGAGAAACTGTTTAGCAATTGAGTAAGTTATTATTATTTCCCTGTAAAACTTAATCTTATAAGTCAAATATTAAATGGAAATTTATATTTAACTATTTAAGTACCTACTTAGTTATCTATCAATTAATTTATAATTATGGCTTTTAAGTATAATAATGAGATACCCGCCTACCAAAACACAAGCTTACGAAGTTGAGTTCATGAACTCTGCAGATTTAACAGTACTACCTAACCTTACTTTATTTAAGTATTAAACATTATGATTAATATTAACAAAACGGTTTAATTTTTAATATATTTTTTTTCATAAAAAGTTATCAGCCTGTATTTTTTTCAGAATGATTCAATGTTAAATAAAAGTACAAATGATATTGGTACATCCTCGGCAATCTCCAATGCAGAATTTTTCGATAAGGAAAAAGTAAGTAAACATATAGAGACCCAAGGGCATTCGGAAGAACTTGTCAAGGAGGGGACAATATTTTCATTTTTAAACGTTTTGTTGCACTACCTACCTATCCGATTAGTGATGAGGTAGGTAGGTAGGTAGGTACCTATTGTTAGTGACATGTTCATATAGGTAGGGAATGTAAAAATTATTTATGAATTATATTATATAGGTAGTTAGATAAAATTTAATTTTACACCATTAATTTATATGTAATTTTTAATTAGGTTACAAAATAAATGCATATTTTTTAATAAATAAATTGTTACCATTGATTTGATAATGTTGGGTTATTTATAAAACTTAATGTTTCTAGCTTATTCAGCCTTTGATAAGACAAACTTGAAACTATTATATTATACATTAAACATGAACATTAAAATTATTTACACAAAATAGTAAAAGCTTGGTTGACACTGCACTTGGCCCCATCAATTATAGGTACCTATATGCTATACAAAATAAATCGATAAAAGCAACGTCCATAGTTCTGATATTCATAATTGAGTGTAAAAAATCACTCTGCGAAATGTGTTTTTATTTTTAGTTTTAAAAAAAAATGTATATTACAAAATGAATAATGATTAAGGCTATGATATCGATGTAGGTACTCGTACTCGTACTTTATATTGTTTTCAAATCTATACACAATGATCGTAAACATAGATACACATTGAATGTATTTTTGAATTTTTTTAATCCAAAATGTAGTTTTCAGATTCTTATATAATTTTTTATATACATTTAAAAAACTATAACTATGTATTAGTAAATAAATATAATATGATCTACACCTAAAAAAAAAAAACAATAATAATAATAGTTAAATTTGGAAACAATTTGTATTTCCAGGTTAAATAAGTCCTATAAATGATCAGTTCTGTCTTTAAAACTCTTTTATAATTCTTTAAAATGTACCTATATTATATTTTTATCATTTTTTCCAAATTAATATTAGAGTTTATATCAAAATTGTTAGAAAAATTAATATAGTACATTTTAGATTCTGAGCAGAGCGATGAATTAATTGATTTTACAATGTGTTTTTTAATTTTTTTTATTTTTTTGTGTCTATCATCACCTTTTAGGACAGTATCTTTTCTAATAAGAAAGTGAATCAAAGGGGTCAAAAGTAAAAATTTCCCAGTAGTTTTCAAAAGCGCCATGAAAAACAAAAGAAAAATTAAGGAAAAACGGGAATTTTTACGTAAAATCTGTTTTCGAGATTCGAGATTTTGGTTTTTAGTGCAACTCTAAAACAAATTACCGTAGGTACATGAAATTTTGACTGAATGTTTATAATAGCATTTTCTATACACCATAACATTTTTCAAATATTTTGAGCTGTTTACAGAACTTTTCAGTATCCATTTTTTTCAGTTTTTTTTTTCTATAACTATCAATAACATTTTATTTGTTGGTTAAGAAAGCTTGACATTTTAGGCTCCTAGTGTATTGTTTGATAGGCAGATGAAAAAAATTAAAAATCCATAGTCATAATTTTTTTTAAGCAATTAAGGTTCAAATATTGACAAAATGCGTAAATATGACGAAAATTTCCAAATTATTTTGAAATTCATAAAAATGTTTCTTTTTAAATCTAAGATTTGAGAATGTAACACAAGATTCCTCATAAATTTGTCTACATTTATCAAAAAAAAAAAATGTTTACAACTTTCAAGCAAATCAAATTAAATTTTTATGAGCGTTTTAAGTTCATATTTTTACAAGATTGAATATTCACTCGATTTCTCATGTAGTGATTTTGTTATTTTGTTGTAATAAAAAAACGAATAACTGTAGATGCATGAAAATTTCACTGAATGGTCATTTAATCAATTCCTATACTTTCTAAAATTTTCAAAATATTTTGACTCTTTTTGAGTTGTTAATGGACATTGTAAATTTTAAATATTTTAATTTTTTTTTCTATAATTGCCAATAAAAGGTTTTTTGTTGCTTAAAAATGGGTGAACATTTAATACAAGGCTACTTATATACTGTTACAATAGCAGTTTAAAAATATTAAAAATACATTGCACAATTTTTTTTTTATAGGTTGGAATTTTGACAAAATGTATCAAATTTAAAATTAAAAAATTATTTTGTAGTTAAAAATGTATAAAATGTTCAACTTTTATAGCTAAGGATTGAAAATTTAAAACAAGGTTTCAAGTAAATAGGTAATATATAAATTACTTTATTCTTAAATTTATTACAATAATATCATCAAATATACTTAGTAATATCATAGGCTAACTGACCGTCTTCGCTCAGAATCGTTTTTCTTATACAATATGATATTATATCATTGAATTCAAATTTAACACCACCCATTACAGTGACCCACTTGTACCTAATGTACAGCAGAGCGGCCCCCACTTTCCCACTGTTTTAATTTGTAGTGCATTACTCAGAATTTTTAGGGCATAAAAGCATTTTTTAGGGCATTAAAATTCCAACCCTAATAATGATTAATATGATAATTGACCCAGAAAATAGCCATGGAGGCACTGCCCTCACTTGCGCGTATATTATTTGGTATTATAATTTACAAAATTGGTAACAATTTATTATGATTTCAGAAAATAATTGCACATAAAAATGAAATGACCAAAGAATGTGTTTTAAAACTAGTGGATGATCAAACAAACAATTTAAATTTTAAAAACAATTATGACCAAAATATGGAATTAACTGAAGATGAAGTAAAATAAATATATTTTTATTTAACAGTAAAGAAACAATGATAGTATTTCGTTCATTTATTGAAATATTGTACTTTTTTTTTTATTTAGATGGTTGAAATTATTGGTGAAAATGTAAGAAACTTTTGCAAAGATAAAATCATTATTTTAAATAACTTCGAGAATAAGCGTTTTAGTAGATCAAAACGTGCAACAGATAAGAAACGATATCAAGGTCAAACCCAAACTCAATTTGTTAGTTTTGGTTCAAAAAATTCTAATCAAGAAACAAAAAATGGATTGGCTGAAGCTTTGTCACAACCTGATTTATCGAGGGCAACAGTCAGTAAGTGTCTGATATATTTCTAAATAAAATGTAGAAATATTATGTTTAAATATAAAATATATTTAAATAATTCAAGCCAAGTATTTATAAATAAATTTGAAAACTGCAAGTTTTCATCCAACACATTTATTGCAAATTGTTGTAAATACTTTACTGCAAAAATATTTTCTATTGACTTCTAGTAGGTAGTAGGTACCTACCTATTAGATATTTAGGTACGAATTTAGTCACAACTAGACCTCTAAAACATAACTCTTTTCCGCCAAAATGACCCTCACCCGTTATCACCATAACCATTTTCCGCCATTGGTTATATTCCGATTTCTAGCAAAAAAAAATAATAAATTATTTTTTGAGAACCCTTAATATCAGTTTAACCCCTCCATACTATTATTATTATTGTTATTATTATTATTATTATTATTATTATTATATAACTAATTCAAGACAAATAAAGAATACCTACATTCAAAAACACATTCGTGGGCATTTAACTAGGTATTCGAGTTTGTTAAACAAATATATTTTTCATATAGTATTTAATATTCAATGTGTTAAAATATGTTTGAATTTTTGTAATTTAATGAAGTTTTAATTTTTATAATTTAATGTATTATTTGGATGAGAAACTTGTGATGTTTCTAATTATTAATACTAATATTTATACCGTTTATACATACTATTTGTTTAATTTTATATGCATTTAATATTTTAATATGATGAATGTGTCGTCTGTAATACAAGGCGCGTACATCGTAATCATTAGTATTTGAAGGATTAAGGTCCAGGGCTTCTCAAAAAATATCTCAAATTATTTATTAATTTTGTTTGGCGGAAATCGGAAACCATTGGTGGAAAACTGTCATGGTGATAACGGACGAGGGTAATTTTGGCGGAAAACGGAAGCCTCCATGTAGGTACTATAGACTATAATATCTAGGCTATAGGTACTTAGTATTTATTAACTACATCTAAACTTAGATGCTAGTTATGTTAATTAGTAGGTAATATTACTATGCAGTATAACGTAGAGTCTACATACTATGGACCAATATACATTTTCTAAAATACATAGGTACCTGGTACATAATACTATAGGTATACGTTTGCTTAATAAATTGCTTTATACGATTGGCACGAATCAAATAGAGAAAAAACTGTAAAAAGGTTCATTAACATACAAAATATTTACATAATTTTTAATGTATATTTAGGTGGTTTGAATGGTATGGGACAAGCTCAAAGTCAGTCAAGCTTTGGGGAATGTGATGAATGTTCTGGACAGGATTATAAAACCCATTCAACACACGTGGACAATTCTCATCTGGTACATTTTCCATCACTTCGACCTATAAATTCTGTTCTTCAAAATGAAAATTCAAGACCATATAGTGTATCAAATACAAATAAGCAGGCACCAGGCTTACAAAATGAAGAAAATCAAGGAGAACATTCTATCAATGGTCAATATCCAGGTTCAAGAATAAACGATAAATTACCTGGTAATCAAGCTCATGGATATGGTGTCAGACCTTTAGTCGATGGTCAGTATCAAGTGTCAGGCACAAACAATAAATTGCCAGGTAACCAAGACCAAGGATATGGTATAACTCCATCTATCGATGGTCAACATCCAAGTTCAGAAACAAACAATAAATTACCGGGTAACCTAAATCAAGGATATGGTGTCAGACCTTTAGTCGATGGTCAGTATCAAGGGTCAGGCACAAACAATAAATTGCCAGGTAACCAAGACCAAGGATATGGTATAACTCCATCTATCGATAGTCAACATCCAAGTTCAGGAATAAACGATAAATTACCTGGTAATCAAGCTCATGGATATGGTGTCAGGCCATATGGTGATGGTCAATATCGAGGATCAGGAACAAACAATAAATTACCAGGAAACCAATATCAAGGATATGGTATAACTCCGTCTATCGATGGTCAATATACAAGTTTGGGAACAAACAATAAATTACCGGGTAACCAAAATCAAGGATATGATATCAATCCGTCTATCGTCGGTCAATATCCGGGCTTAGGAATAAACCATAATTTACCGGGAAATCAAGATCAAAGATATGGTAATGTACAGAGTTTTCATGGCCAATATCCAGGTAAAAACCAAGGTTCAGAATCAAATAATACTACAGAACTGGGTAATATAGACTCAGGACGTGTATATAGTTCTGCAAATGAACAGAATCCAAATTTAGCTAATATGAATTCACCTGAATACAAAAAACCTTTAAACAATGATGCCGTTAACCCAAACACATATTCCATTAATTCTAGTCCATTTAATCCTAGTAGCTGGGACTATCCAAATAAAATCGATAGTAACAATCCTAATGTAGATCAGCAAATAAATCAGTCAGGCTTTCCTAATATTCCTTCAGGGTTAGGTCATGGAATATTGACTCCACATAACACACCTAATTCCGAATGGACGCGTCCTAGTTACAATCCGCAAGTTCCAGTAACAACTTCAATAGGACATCAAAATAAACCATCAAATTATCCATCTATTCTTATACCTAACTATCAACAACAAATGCCAAATGTTTTAGGTCAATTGACACCAAATAGGCCTATTTCAAGTGATACGAACTCACAAAACGAGCAAAGGATTAAAAACGAAGTTGCTGGAACTATACACAATGGATATCCGTTGTCTTCAAATATACATGGAGGCCAAGATTATACCACACTAAATTTACCTTCGCTATGCAATTTCTTATACCAGACATGTCTTAATGCATTGTCGAATAATAAAAGACTAAATGAATTTCAAATAACTAATTCACAAAATAACGAAAGAATTCCAAACGAAGGAAAACAAGTTGGTATTACACAGGTACCTATCACCGAACAGCAAGGTTACCCTTTATATGGAGGAGGAAATCAAAATCAAATACAGCCTAGTTATGGTCTACCTCAAGATAAATTAGGATCAGGCGTGTCCAGTGTACAACATACTGGATACACTCCGTCAGGTGTAAATCTAAATCCAATTCAACCTAGCTATGGCCAACCTCAAAATACATTAAGCTTTGGAGGGTCTGGTATTCAGCAACCTGGAAACGTTCCATCTGGGGGAAACATAAATCAAATTCAACCTAATTATGACCAGCCTCAAGGTACTTTAGGCTCTGGAGGGCCTCGTTTTCAGCAACCGGGATACATTCCATCGGGGGGAAATGTAAATCAGATTCAACATGGTAATGGGCAGCCTCAAGGTACATTCGGCCCTGTAGGATCTGGTTATCAGCAACCTGGATACGTTCCATCTGGTGGAAATGTAAATCAAATTCAACCTAGTTATGGCCAGCCTCAAGGTACATTAGGCTCTGGAGTATCTGGTTACCAGCAACCTGGATACGCTCCATCTAGCGGAACTGTAAATCAAATCCAACCTAGTTATGGCCAGCCTCAAGGTGCATTAGGAACAGGAGGTTCTGGTGTTCAGCAACACGGATACAACCCATCAAGTGGAAATATAAATCAAATTCAACCTAGTTATGGTCAGCCTCAAGGTACATTAAGCTCAGTAGGGTCTGGTTATCAGCAACCAGGATACATTCCATCTGGCGGAAATGTAAATCCAATTCAACCTAGTTATGGCCAGCCTCAAGGTACATTAGGCTCTGGAGGGTCTGGTGTTCAGCAATCTGGAAATGTTCCATCTGGTGGAAATATAAATCAAATTCAACCCCAAGGTGCATTAGGCTCCGGAGGGTCTGGTTATCAGCAACCTGGATATGCTTCTTCGGGTGGAAATTTAAATCAAATTCAACCTAGTTATGACCAGAATCAAGGTACATTAAGCTCTGGAGGGACTGCTTATCAGCAACCTGGATATGTTCCATCTGGTGGAAATATAAATCAAATTCAACCTCAAGGTGCATTAGGCTCCGGAGTGTCTGGTTATCAGCAACCTGGATACGCTTCATCGGGTGGAAATATAAATCAAATTCAACCTAGTTATGGACAACCTCAAGGTACATTAGGCTCTGGAGGATCTGGCTATCAGCAATCTGGTAATGTTCCATCTGGTGGAAATATAAATCAAATTCAACCTAGTTATGGCCAACCTCAAGGTACATTGGGCTCTGGGGGGTCTGGTATTCAACAATCTGGAAATGTTCCATCTAGTGGAAATATAAATCAAATTCAACCTCAAGGTACATTAGGCTCCGGAGGGTCTGGTTTTCAACTACCTGGTTACGTTCCATCGGGTGGAAATGTAAATCAAATGGAACCTAATAATGGCCAACCTCAAGGTACGTTAGGCTCTGGAAGGCCTGGTTTTCAGCAACCTGTATACAATCCATCAGGTGGAAATATAAATCAAATTCAACCTAGTTATGGCCAACCTCAATTTACATTGGGCTCTGGGGGGTCTGGTATTCAACAACCTGGAAATGTTCCATCTAGTGGACATATAAATCAAATTCAACCCCAAGGTACATTAGGCTCTGGAGGATCTGGTTATGAGCAACCTGGATACGCTTCATCGGGTGGAAATATAAATCAAATTCAACCTAGTTATGGACAACCTCAAGGTACATTAGGCTCTGGAGGGTCTGGTGTTCAGCAATCTGGAAATGTTCCATCTGGTAGAAATATAAATCAAATTCAACCCCAAGGTACATTAGGCTCTGGAGGATCTGGCTATCAGCAATCTGCTAATGTTCCATCTGGTGGAAATATAAATCAAATTCAACCTAGTTATGGCCAACCTCAAGGTACATTGGGCTCTGGGGGGTCTGGTATTCAACAATCTGGAAATGTTCCATCTAGTGGAAATGTAAATCAAATTCAACCTCAAGGTACATTAGGCTCCGGAGGGTCTGGTTTTCAACGACCTGGTTACGCTCCATCTGGTGGAAATATAAATCAAATTCAACCTAGTTATGGCCAACCTCAAGGTACATTGGGCTCTGGGGGGTCTGGTATTCAACAATCTGGAAATGTTCCATCTAGTGGAAATATAAATCAAATTCAACCTCAAGGTACATTAGGCTCCGGAGTGCCTGATTTTCAGCAACCTGGACAAGCTTCATCGGGCGGAAATATAAATCAAATTCAACCTACTTATGGTCAGCCTCAAGATACTTTAGGTTCTGGTGGGACTGATGTCCAGCAACCTGGATATAATTCACCACCTGGAGAACATAACCGAAATGGTCTTTCAAGTGTTCAATCACCTTTAGATGGAAAAATAGTACCCCATAGTTATCCCGGATCGTATGGGGATAACAGTTTTAGAGAACCAATTCTTAAGCCAGGATCAGAAATGGGAAATATTAATCCATCACCAAATCCAATAATTGGTGGTCAGTTTGGAACAGATATATCATCTGGAGGTTCTGTGACTCCTATTGACACTGAAGGAGGAGATGCACAATCAATGACTAATGTAGATGTTGATGGCCAAGAAACAAGAGCGTCGGCTTCAGCTCAAGGAAGGTCCAAAACAGGTATGAGCCAGACTCAAGTATCTGGATCATATTTAGGAACAGGAACATTTTCTGCTCAAGCTCAAACAAGCGATAGCGATAAAGGAGCTCAAAGCCAAATTGTAAGTAATACAAATGGTACAACAAGTACAGCTCAAGGAAAAGGTGGAAGGGGACAAGCACAATCCCAAGTTCTTTATAATGCAGATAACGGCATTGCCCTAGGTGAAGCACAAAGCTCAGGAATTAACTATGGGACAAACACTCAATTGCAAGCTGGTATAAAAGGAGGAGTGGCAGATGCACAATCAACTGGCCCAGGAAGTACTTCCAGCCAGGCTCAAATAGGTTTCTTACCACATGAGTCCAACAACAGCACTAATCAAAAGTCATTATTTAAAGGTAGTGGTGCAACTTCCGCTCAAGGTGGATCATATAGTGGTCAATCGCAAAGTCAACTGTTTGGGTCATATAAGCATGGAATTTCATACAACGGTGCTGCTCAAGCAAGTACTGGTAAAAAACTTCAAAACTTACCAAAATTAAATTTGGCTGATGCCAAGTTAAAAATTGGGCAACTAGAAGGATCTAATAATGAAGTTAAAAATCAAACTAATGCACTCCCGGAAGTACAGCCTATTCCAAATGTATTACAATCTCAAAATCAAGTAGAAAATTCCAATGTTGATAACCAAAAACAGCAAAATATATCTTCAACACAGACTCCATCTATTTTACCACAAGAATCTTCTAAGAATATTGATGTTTATCCTGAATACGAAGATAATGATGAGTATGATGAAGATAGTGATGAAACTGTAAATACAAAATCAGTACAAACAAAAAAAGAAACAATTCCAAAGCAAGAGCAAAATATTATTTTAAAATTAGACGACAAACATGATGCCCAAATTACTCGTGATTCTGATAGTCAGCTGAAATCTGGACAAGTATTAGATGCTGGTCAAGTTATACCAGGGACTAACGGAACTAAAATACCAAATGGATTTAGAGGAAGAGTAGCTTCAGTAGCTGGAGACCATACCGAAGCTAAAGCCATTCCGGGAGGTCAAGCTCAAACTCAAACGGTATTCTTAACACCCGGAGTAGGTAGTTTAACGGTGGTAGACAAAACAAAATTAAGAGCGCAGTTAAATAAAGAATCATATGTTAAGCCAATTAAAAGTTTCAAAACTGAAATTAATGGAGGAATAGGCAAATTTCAACCAGATGAAAAGAATGTTCAGTATTTTACTAAATCATCAACTTGTGGTTACTTTTCATTTTCGTGTAACTATGTAAATGGAGCAAAAGATGGGCCTAAGATATGTAAGCCAAATCCACCACCTTTCCCATGCCAGAGAACTAATAATTAATGATTATAACAAATATTAGAATAATATTTTTTTTTTATATAAAACAATTATTTATATTTTAGTTAAGTTAATTGAGTACAAAATTGTATACTAATTAAACCTAACTTTGTACTATGAAATATAGTAGATCTATTAAAGTAACATTTATTATTTTATATACTAATTTAGCTACTATTATCGTTTTGCACATGATTATTGCTATATAAAAAAAAAATTCACAAACACTAAATGTATTACTACATAAAAAGACAATAAAAAAATGGAAAATGAAAATGTCTAATGTGTTTGAAGAATACAAAACAAGTATAACATATAAGTTATAAAATAAAATATTAAATATAGATTTAGTGAATGTGTTTTGATTTTATGGTAAGATCATAGAAAAGGTATTTTCTATAAATATATATATACAAAAAAAAAATTAGAAATTAAATATTTGACACATAATTAGAACTAACTTGTATTCTTACAATGTATTAATTATATTAATTGACTGATAATATATTACACAAGAAGCAAAATATTTTAGTAGTTTTTTCACCAATAATAATTAACAAACATTAATGCAGGTCTATTAGTTGAAATTCAGTCTTCATCACTATGACTTGAATCATCTGAAGATACTCGACTTGTTAAACGTGTCAATCTTAAAAAAAGAAAAACTTAATAAATTACAACCAAAATCTTTGTTTTAACCAAAATATGATATTGTAATCTTACTTTATGTTCTATGAACTCAAAAGCAGCATTTTTAAAGTAAAAATATAATTTTATTAATATATATTATATTGAACAGAACACTGTGCGTTTTAACATAGCATAATTATATACAATATGCATTGGACATTTTTAGTACACAAACTTGTGGGGCTCCTCAACCCCACAGTACTATTTTTAATATAATATGATTTATTATATAATTATATATCAACGTGAGGAGGCCAATAGAGTATTTAATCATACTGACCCCACATACAAAAGTATATAACCAGCCTACAAGCACTCTGTGTCTTGTTTACAATTTATCAACAAAAAATATCAATAACTCAACTACCTATGAATGGTATCTAGATGATATTTTCCCATAGCAATAATACATGCTGTTCCGACTGCTGTGACATAGTTACTGGCCCTTGTAACACTAGTGTTTCTCAACTATCGGCCATATTTTTTTTAAGGATTTTATATCAGAACGTTCAAGGATACAAGTATTTAATATATGTCATGAGTACGTTAGTACCTATGATAATATGAATATATGATAATATATAATTTATATTATATTATAGAGACAGAAATTGTATTTATTATATATAGCAGGGGTCTCCAAACTACGGCCCGCAAACAAGTTTTAACCGGCCTGTGGCCCGTATAGGACGCATAGGTAAATATAGATAAAAAAATTATTTCAAAAATGTATTTATATTATATTATATTTATACCTATTTATTTTTATTTAAGTATATTGGAAAGTAAACAATATTCTATACAAAAATATAAAGTAAACATATTATTTATATAGGTACCTATATTATCATAAAGTTAAAAATTATATGTGTTAATAAACTTTTGGCCCGCTAAGAGCATTTGATTTATTTTGTGGCCCTTGAATAAAAAAGTTTGGAGACCCCTGATCTATAGCCGTAGTATTACAAATGTTAGCATAGATAGATAAGTATAAACAATTTTTTTTATAGTAAAATAATCGTAAGCTACCGTTCATGCTAGGATGTATTTAATATTATATCTGGTCATATAACAAGTTTTTTATATAGTGAAAACAATCCAAATTTAATTTTTATAAGGTTTTTTTTTTATTGGCCACCCTCAACTTTTGAGAAATTCTGGCTATACTGTTGCCCTATAATAGTCTAAACAGACACCATATCTTAAGGCTCAAACAACAACTATTAACTAATTTATTTGAAATCGGTACCATTAAACAATACTACACATTGTTACATTCAATGTGTAAAAAATAAAAATTAATAAAACTGATTTTGAAGTGTCTGCTTGCAATATATGCACATCGCACATACCATAGACCCACATTACGCAACTGGTTTATATTGTTTAAAATATTTGTTTTTAGATACACACAATTAAAATAATACAGAACAAATTAAGTACTGCCAACTAATTTTTCTTTGCATATATCAATGAATTTTTTTGTATTATTATAAATTTAAAAAATAAAAACACTCACATTTAAATATTTAATGAGCTTAGATATATTAATAATATGTTAATGTAACTTTTCAGATTAATTAAAGAACTCATTAAGAAATATAAATGCATATTTTTGGAATTTATTCAATGCACTTTGATCATGTTATGAATAAATACTTAAAGTTGTTAAATAAAAAAAAATATCAAATATACAGCTAACTCTCAGTTACTAAAATTATTTTTACTATTATGAAAAACGTGTGTTAAGTAGTTGTTAATATTAACATTTAATAATAATTACTATATTAAAACATTAAATACCATATAGGTATTGGATTGTCATTGAATTGGTTATAAATATTTTAAAGTTTAAATTACATTAATTTGATTATTTGGATTTTAATCTAAATTGTAAAATTAAATATGTAGGTGATATCTAAAATGATAATTAATTGTTTATGAGCAAGTCCTCACCTTATATTTTGATGCATTAATTCGGCCTGTAAGCTATCGAGCTTTTCTTGTAAGTCTTCGTTTAATCTTTGAAGTTTCCTGAAAAAGCAATAATTTTTAAGCAAATATTATTTTAGATAATTTAATTTTTTAAATATTAATATATACATTTTATGGTTGTCACAAATAAGAGACTATAAAGACTATAAAGGTAACTTTGTGAAGATGAAATTCCTAAAAATGTAATATGCTTATTTACACCAATCTAATATTAAATATAGGAAAGGAATTATTTTAGTTTAATATTAATAAAAGATAATGATTGATATTATTGGTAATTAAATTAGTTTAAGTGACACACGACAATATGCATTTTTCCTTAGTAGTGGTATATACCGTTTTACTACTAATTTAATGATTATTGAATTTAAAATACAGTGAAACCTTTAAATAACAGACAGTTCTACCTTTAAAGTGTCCATTATAGACAGACAAATTAGGGTAGGCTTTAGTATTGTTTAAGTCAAACTCACTAACATCTGAAGGGTTACAGGGAAAACCGATAATAGTCAATATTCCTAAAATGTTCAGTATTGCAGTTTTAAAGTGGGACTCTGGCCTTTTTTTCCTGTTATGGTAATATTTAAACCTGTCTTATACCATTGACCGTGATCTTTTTTCCATAACTCGATTCACGTGTCGATTCATTATGAAACTAACCAAACGGTACTATGTTTATTTTCTTTCTTCTTTTTTTTTAATATGATCGGTTTTCCCCATAACCCTTCATCTATTAAATGAAAAAAACATGAAGCATGGAAAATAGTAAATAATTTATACATATTTCATAACATAGATTGACATATGTAGTTAATCAAACATACATATATAATTATAAATATACGCAATTAATGTTATCGTAATTAAACAAAGTATGTAAAGTATGTAATCACTAATCAGTCGTAATTTGAGCCTTGACCGTCAATGCTTGATGAGTAATCGTGATGGCGAGACTGGTGACTCTTTACTGTAGTAATATAGCATACAAATACGCATGCAATTATATTTGAGTGTGAACTCAAACATTATTGTCAGTTGTCAATATATCGGGGAATATTATTACTGTCCGTGTCTGATAGAAAAGGATCTATACAGAAAGTTAAAAATTAATTGGAATACCTAGGCATCTTTTTGCTAGGACTTGAATCATTTCGTTCATTGAGAGGTATCTGTTAAAATATTATACAGTTGACTGTCAAGTCAGGCCGACAGTGATTTAATCAATCTGCATAGTATTATCACTTATCAGTATCACATTATTTTATAAAGTAGACAATTATTTTAATTTAACTTAACTAATTATACCTTAAGTACCAAATAAACGTAATTTTAACAAAACGTATATATTATTTATATAATTTAGCACAAATATTGAATAAGAATTACTTTATAGTATTAGAAGCAGTATCATAATCTTCTTCTGTAGTAGCTAATTCTCTTTTTAATTCCTCTACTCGGCTTCTCAAACGCTTGACTTCATTCTCATATTGCTCACCACGCCTCACTAAATGCGCTGACTCAGCACTTTGGTCAACACATATTTTCTTTTGTTTGGATAAAATGTGTTTTAAATTGGCTAACTCCTGAAAAATAGTTATAGAAATATTATTAACTAAATAATGTTTATATTATGAGTCTATAAACAAAAAAAAAAAACCAACAATATTTTTATCAGCCAACTCTTCTTGCAATAATCTATATTTTGTGTCTGATGTTGATTCAGGTTTACTCTGTTTCTGCAATTTATCTAGTGTGTCGTTCAATTCAGATTTTAATTGCTTATTGATTCTTTCCAAGTTCATCATTTCACTTTCTAGTTGTTCTCTTTTGCTCCATTCAATTTCATTCTCAGATTGTAAGTGTTCTAGCTAAGACCGATGATGATAATAATAATAACAGTTAATTATAAATTGTAATTTTAGCAGCAAATAATTTATGAATTACCTGTATTCTTAAGTCTTCCAAACGTTTGTTTGTAATAACCTGATTGTCTTGACAAGTTTGACATTCTGATTTAACACTATCTGTACCTGACAACTGACTATGCAAATTGTTTAAATCTTGTTGAGTGCTTTCCAACAGATTTTCTAAATTCTTCTCAAGTGTATCGGCTACTTCGTCAGATATGGTTTTATTAGGAATTGGTGATTTAATGGGAGAAGTTGTTTGATTGAACATTTCAACCGCATGTTTGGGAACAGCCTCTTGTAAAACATATTCTTCAATACCAGAATCACTCACAATCGATGGCTGAGGTATAGATGATGAACTACAGCAAGTATCTGGATCAGAAATACCATTTTCCAATGCATCAACCAGTTGAGAATCCCATTGTCCTATAAAAAATAATGTTTAAAACTAAATAAACTTGGACATTTATATTCAGAAAATATACCTGCATGTTTTAATAGAATCAGATTGACTTTTTCTAATTCTTTGCGCAAACATTCATTCTGTTGTTCGAGATTTTGCTTTTCTCTTTTTATATTACTGTTTTCTTTTAGTACATGTTCTAAATTATCTTTGAGCATCTTAGCTTCTTCTCGAGCTTTGTTTCTTTCATTTCTCACCTATAAATAACAATGAAAAAAATTAGAACACCCACTAATCAATTTCATAAAGTTACATTTTACCTTGCTCCATTTTTCACGCCAGTTAGCAGTACAATCAGACCACCATCGCATTGTTTTCTCCATTTGTGTTGCTCGTGCCCTGGCTTCATCTAATTCACGCTGACGCATTGACTCTCTTGTATCCCAATCGGATGCTGTAGCTGATGCAACAACACCGCCAGCCTCACTTGCGGCCATTTTAACGGCCTAAAATAAACAATTTTTGAATAATTATAAAATGAAAATGCATTTATAAATACATTATGGATAAGTCAATGATAGAGGTAACATAAAATTAAACTTGCCATGATATTAAAATACTTAATTAATGCTTTTGGTTCAGAAACACCAAATATGCAGGACTTAAAATAGACATTGTGTTTCTTTGTATCACAATTATATTAAGTAAACTGTCAACCATCAATAAGAAAGACGTTGACTGTGGAAGCAAAGGGAAAATTTCAATATTTCAATATCTAACTAATATTTAAGTATTCACATAGATTTAGTAGATATTACTTGTTGTCTGTTGAAGTGTTGACTATCGTCATCAACTATCAAATATCAATAATCAATCCAACTTGTTCTTATCAACTGAACGTCTGAACCCTTATCAAGCTTAATATCACAGAATAGATGAAATATCGGACGCATGTTATTTTCCAGAAAAAAAACGGCCAGAATGTAGATTTGTCGAATGTTAAATAACAGAAAATAATATTACAGAATTGAAAACAACCAGAATATAAAAAGCCCAGTACATATTTGAACAGAAAATAAAATGAACGAAAATAAATACTACAGAATGTAAACTGATAAGAATTATTATCAGTAGAAATACAGAAATACAGAAATTGATATTGCAGAAATTCGAAAAGTGTATAATTCCAGAATGGAATATAACAGAACACAGTTTTACAGAATGTTATGATGCATAAAAAATGTTTGCATAAAATATTATCTTGGAAAATATTTTAACTGAAAATTATTTATTAGAAAATATATTTCCAGAAGTATATCTATAGAAATTTTTTAGTCGTTAATTAAAAATTAAAATTCGTGGGTACAAAATATAATTTTTTTACGTATGTCTGTTATTTACTTGCTAACTTAGGTATATAACTTATATTTATAATATATATACTTTATGTATAATGTATATAATAGTACAAAGTGTCCGCGTTCTGCAATGTACCATTTTACTCGACCGTACAAAGTGTCCGCGTTGTACATTTTGAACAATGGACCGTACAAAGTGACCGTTTACCCAAAATTTGACCTATAATAGGTACCTGTAATAAATTCCAAATTAATCATATCACAATATCCATTAGGTACTTATAACGCGTTATACATCAACAAAAACCGTGATACTATCATAGATACATAATAGTACACTTTAGAAGTTTCAAGTAGGTACCCACGAATAATATTATTCAATCACAACAAAATAACTAAAATAGTTATTCTAGGTTTTTTAATATGTAATTTCGGCCAAATTTGAATTTAAAATGTCTGTAAAAAATAACTGTGTTCATATATTTTTTAGATTTTTTGGTTACAGTATGAACTATTTATGAGAACCTTTGTTTTAAATTTGCAATCCTTAGCTATAACTGAATATTTTATAATTTATTAATTACAATGATTGATAATTTTCGAGATTTTGATAAATTTTGTCAAAATTCGATCTTTAAATGCTTATAAAAAAAAACTGTGCCTATGTATTTTTAATATTTTCAACTGCTATTGTAACAATATATCAGGAGCCTTGTATTAAATTTTTACACTTTTTGGCCCAACAGATAAAACCTAATTGATATTTATAGAAAAAAAAACTAAAAAAAATGAAAAATGAAAATGTCCCTAAACAGTTCAAAATATTTTGAAAATGTTATCGTGTATAGAAAATGCTAATATAAACAACCAGTGAAAATTGCATGTATATACGTTCATTTGTTTTAGAGTTACACCAAAAACCAAAATCGATTTTTTGGAAAACCGTTTTTCCTTAATTTTTATGTTGTTTTTCCCGGCGCTTGTGAAAACTACTAGGAAATTTTTACTTTTGACCCCCAAAGTACCAACTAGATTCACTTTCCTATCAGAAAAGCTACTGTTGAAGAAAATCCAAGCACTTTTACTTTCCTAAAACGTGATGACAGACACAAAAAAAAAAACACACATCATTGTAAAATCAATACATTCATCGTTTCACTCAAAATCTAAAATCAAAAAAGAGAAATTATTAGGATAAAATTTAATAACGAATTACAATAGAATAATAAAATAACTAAACTTGACTTTAATAAGCTGTATCATTTAAATATTTACCTGTTTAAAATTGACATTAGATAGGTATTAGATAATATTATAATTGTAATTATAATTATAATTATTATTGAATATTGATATTATTATTTATTATTAATTTAACATTCAATATTTTAGACGTGACTCAATTCACCACTATCATTTTTTTTTTTAGGTGAGATTTAGTTAATCTAAAAATAATGAAATAGGGGTGTAATATGTAGGAAAGGGAGATGGTAAACTGTGGAAAAATTAACCTTTTTCTAAAATTCGATATATAAACTGCTACAAATAAAAATTTAACATTATACAATCTGCGACAAAATCAATAAGACACATTATACAAACTGCGTCAATTCATTTTATATACCTATAGGTACGTATATACATTATGTATACATTACAGTATGTACATTATAGAAGTGTCGATTTGATAACATAAATTATATAGGTACCCACATCATATTTACCTATGTGTTATTATTTAAATATAATTATGTATTTTTGTTGTTTATTTGTCCCTGCATAATATGTATATTTTATAATCACCGTTTAACGTAGTTACTAATATTGTTTGCCATTATGGCTAAACATTGTTGTAAATTCCATATTGAATTAAATATTAAATTTCTTAAACTACTTCTACTGACATTTAAGTCATCTAACTAACTAATAAGTACTATAAGTATACATTTAAAAAAACATTTGGATTTACCTTACTAATTTGTATGTAACATGACTTATTGGTCTAAAACGTATGAAAAATACCTGTACTGCAATCCCCTTAAAAGTTAAAATGTAAAATAAATCATAATCGGCTATTAAAAATTATATCTCATGATTTATAAGAATATACAAAATACAAATATTGAGTGTAAGCTTCGTTTTGAATGGGTTGAAAACTAAATGCACTATGCACTCAAACCTCATAGCCCATAGGCAACGTGTGTTCACCAAAATAATAAGTACCTAATTAGTAAATACTTTTAAAAAAAGAATGCTCGTTGCGTAAGTTGTATATTTGATTGGTATTACAACATATAATATTTTTATTGTAATTTATAGTTATGTTTTATAATAGTTATAAGTATAATAAGTATACTTCAATTATACTACAATTAATGTCTGATGGTTATAAAAAAATACAATTAATACATCATGTTTACAAATCATTGTTTTGGTAAGTTTAAACGACGAAGTGTAAAACAAAATTGAGGCAATGGGGGTTTGAACCCTGTTACTAACCGGCACTTGCGCAAGTGCCTGCCACTACTAGATATTGTTTTATATAATGTATGAAGTAAATATTTTGGCCTCAGCCTGGCCCACCTGGTAGGTACTAAATTTCTGGCGCCGCGACTGTTAACTCCACTAACCATCATCATCATGCAATAAGTAGAAAAATGAAATGGTCACCTGCAGCTGTGGTGGGCTGAACTTAAATTTTAAATGACGCATTAGGCTCCTAATATATTGTTACTATAGCAGTTGAAAAATATTAAAAATACAGTCACAATTTTTTGTTTAAAAGCATTTAAAATTCGAATTTTGACAAAATGTATCAATATTAAAATTTAACAATTATTTTGTGGTTAAAAACAATTTATAAAATGTTCAACTTTTATAGCGAAGGATTGAAAATTCAAAACAAGGTTCCACGTAAATAGGTTATATATAAATTACTTTATTCACAATAATTAATACCATCAAATGACAAATATACTTAGTTATATCAATATATCGTAGTATACCTCCGCCGCGCTGGGAGGCCTCTGCAGTCTGTTCAATCATTTCAATCAATAAGCCTTTTTATTTTTATTTTATTTAGCTATTAATTACCATAAATTGTTCTTATTGTTCTTTTTTTGTAACGATTTGATAATAAAAAAATGTATGATACAAAAAAAAAATATTTAACTTTTTTACTATTTTTTATGTTTTACAGCGCATATTATTAAGTATAAGTAGTATAACTTACATTTCATAGAAAATATATTTCAGTTTTCTAATAAATTAAAGTCCACTCTTTAGTAATTAGTAAATACTAAATACTAATTTATAATCATAAATAATAATTACCTACTAAATACTAATAATATGTTTAGAATAAATTTTCGATAAAAATAGTGTTGTCTTTACCAAATTTAAACGAAATAGGTACCTACTCGCGAGTCGCGGTTGATGTAGAACAGCAGTTTTGAACATTTTCATATCTGAGTACTTACCACATGTCCACCTACACAGTTTGAGAATATTCATGTACCACTTGACCAAAATGTATCGATTTAAATTTAAATTTATAATCTGTAGGTAGTATAGAGATTATCATTATCTTAATAATTATTTCTACATTCTACGATTACAAATGATCTCCACGCAGTCGATATAGGTATTTAAAACGGTATCCGGACAATTTCCCCCCGGACATTTTCCCCTCGACTGTTTTTGGCGTAGTAGGACATTTTCCCCCTTTTTTTTAATTATTTTTTTTCATAAATATAATCAATTATACCTACTACAATTAACTTTATAAATGTATACTATAAATTTCATTTTTTTTTTTCATAAATATAATAAGACATAAAAATAGTAGTATTATTTTTTATTTAGACAATCTTTTAAATATAATATTACTATTGTTTTATTGTTTCAAGTAGTTGAATTGATCAAAAATATACATCTACTATAATAGGTAATTATAGTATAATCTATATACATATAGGAGGCGGCCCCTATTCACTCATCAACGCCCAGATGAAACCGCTGGGTCTAGATACTTGAAATTTTATATAGACCTTAAGCAATGTAGGGGCGCACTAAGAAAGGATTTTCCAAAATTCGACCTACAAGGGGGTAAAATTGGGGTTGAAAGAATACGACAGTGG